CCCAAGTTTTCAGCGTTTAGAAATGCATCATATTCCACATGGTGCCCTCCTCTGATGACACAGTCTTGCTGCGCTAGGCCAAGCTGCGGATGGTAGAGGTGCACATGCAGTCATGCCGCCAAGCAGGCGAGTTCTGGAAATCAGGTCTGCGTGGGAGATTGCATGGGATGAATACATGGGGCCAAGGCCGCTAGCGCACGAGAATTTTGCCTGATGGAAGCGAAGACCACACTTATTCCAGACTTCCAGCCACTGCAATTCCCTGACGTTTTGCATCGCACAACTCCCTTCACAACTCCCTTTTCCCGCCCACCTAGACGGCCCAACTTCAGCCTGACATATTTGTCTTAGCCTGCTGAAAGCTTGGCTAAAAGCCCTACATACTGAAAGCCCAGAAACAGAAGCCGTGGAAGCCGAAGCGCGTAGCCGACTAGTGCTGCTTTCGCAACGCCCAGGGCGTCCAGAACCCCACAGGCGATGTCCACAGGACCACCCTGCGACGGAGGATTGTCACAAGGCAGAAGCATTCAGCTCAGCCATGGCCGTGCTTTCTCACTTTGTGCTCATCTGGTCTGGAACGATTTGCTATTTGAAGGCATCGAAGCAGACCTTGGCCGCATTGTTCTCAGAGCGGCTGCTCAGCTTCGTGCCAGGGGAGCCTCGCCGTTCAAGTGCATGCACGGACTGCCCTTCTGCTGCATTGCGCTGAGTAATTAGTGGACATGGGGGAACAAGACATGAGGACTGCTACACCTTTGCCAAGTGCGTGCCAGAAGCTGCCGCAACCCGGCATGTCGATGGCCTTGGGTGGACAGGCGCTCTTGCTTTGCGCTTAGGGGTCTGAAGGTTTGCCGTTTAGTGATCCGCCACAGCTTGAGAGACTGAGCGCAAGGCAATCGCGCGGTACTTGTTGTAAATCAAAGCCGGCCAGAGCCACCTCTGTGGGCTTCTGTTGGGGCTTTCTGCAGAGGATGAACCTTGAGGGATACAGGGGGACAACAAAGCTTTTCATGTGGGATGCATATTCAGGATTCCTGAAGGAAACAAACAGGCTTCAAAAAGACCCTAAGCTTCGCCAAGTACATCCTGAACCAGAAGGCACGCGTGGTGTGTTTGAACCATGATTTTCAACTTGCACATCCTTGCATCTTCCTGCCCTACGGTTTCATGCTGTTGTGTGGAATTGGAACAGCACACGTACTTTGTCCTTAGCCACTTGCACGCAAAGCCGCGCATAGGGCCAACTCAAATCAATCCTACCTTCTGCATATGGAATCAAATGGGAATCGCAAAATTATCCCCATAATCCTTTTTATGAGGGCCCCTAAGGGTCAATAATGGGAAGCCCGCAAATTGTTGATGGACGCTTTGCCAGTCACCTCCAGGTTGTGGCATCCGAAGGACAGCCATGGAGAAGCAGCACAGCCTGAAAAGTCCGCAGCTGAACGCCAAATATCAATCAGCTTGTATGAGGGTGCCTCAAAATCGCTTATCTTTAAAGAGACTTTTGACAAGAAATCATTGCATTTTGGTGCCAACCTGCATTCTTTCAAAAATGTGGATTCTAATTCTAAGGACATCATGGCGGACCCCCATGAGGCGCGATTATCTTCAGAAATTCCTTCGCAAGCACAAAGATCCTCCCAGCAAGGACTGCTAGACCCCAACAAATAAAGCCCCTAAGATAGCCTGACAGGGGGTCCTCATGATGCCCGGAATAGTTTGCGATTCTTTGTTTGCATTCATTTTTGTTCTGTGCAGGGGCCAGCAAGCATTCTAAATGCAGCATGTGGCTACTTTATTAGTCTATTTTCATCGTCGCACAGCGTCCTGGGGGTGCTTGGAAGCTGCGAGCACTGATAAACACAGAAACTGGGGGTTCTTGTGGCATGGGTACTTCAGCAGTCAATTTTCGTGATCGCACAGCGTCTCAGGGGCTGGTTGGAGGCTGCAAGCGCTGTTAAACATAGCATAGCCTTTGGGGGTATGCAGAGTCGAAGTCGAAGCCTGTGCCAATACTCATCATTGGGTAGCGTCACAAGGGGTTCTTGGAGGCGAGAAGTAATGGTAAATTCCTATGCCTATGCACCTTCTTGCACGTCTTTGATGGGATTTTTATGCATTGCGCCCACATTTTGAAACAGAAGGGGAGTTGATGGCCGAAGATAAGAACATGTCAGCTTCTTGCACGCTTCTGACGGTTTTCACGGAATTTCTTAGCAGTTTGCTTGAGACAGTCAAGATTGCCAAATGCTGTCACGTGCTTGGCTGCTTGATTTTTTCAAACAGTACATGGACTTCCATTTGCCGTGTTTGCAGCCTTACCAAACCCCCAAATGCTGTAATTTTTGTTTTCGTAGCCTTTCCAAAGCAGCAAATGCTGTGATTTACAGTATTCGTAGGCTTTCAAGAACTCCACGCGTGGTAACTTGCAATATTCGTAGATTTGCAACGGCCGCATATGCTGCAATGTATTGAGTGCACGTAGCCTTTCAAGGTCCGCAAATGCTGCAAATTTGCAGTCTAATTTTCAAGAACTGCTACTGCTGCATTTTGTCGTACTCGTAACTTTTCAAAAGCTCCAAATGCTGCAGTTACAGCACTCGCAGCCTTTCAAGAGCCGCGGATCTTGTATTTTCCCGCATGCGTAGCCTTTCAAGAACTCGAAGTGCTGTAATTTATAGTCTCGTAGGAGGCCACAGGACCCGGGGACAGCATGGGACCGGAGGTATTGGAGGACCAGAGGACTCTAGGACCACAGAACCAAAACAACGCCCAACAAACATTCGAAATTAGATAGTCATCCGTCCTAATGCGCTTTTTGGGTCTGAGAAATACCTTTTGACAATTTCCCGTCGAGGTTCCCCCCAATGATGCCTCTATAGCCCCTACATATCTCTATGCTCCGGCCTCCCCATCTGCCGGCCCACAGGTGAGCACGTGGATCTGTCCTGGGACACTAGCCATGCTGGGTGGTTGATGGCAGAACCTCCTCCAATATCTCTGCCTCACATCTTGTGGATATGGGCATCTATCTATGATCTATTCTCCAAACATACCATACACTCATTCTTCCTACAGAGCTTGAAGTGGACGACCTTTGGATCGAACCCTGATTCGAATCTTGAACGCCTCGGCCGTTATGGACCACCGGCTAGGGTACCCTTCCAACTGGCGACTTCCACATGTACATTCCACAATATGCCCACTGAAATCCCAAGCCCGAAGCCGTTATCCGTGCAAAACTGCTACAACAGCCCTGCAGCCCTTGTCATACACAAACCCAGCCTGGCCTGCTGGCGTGTCGAGCATAGTCGACTCCGTAAGGGAAGCGGCCTGTAGACGAAGGATTTCAGGGCATACCGCGATTCGTTCATGGATACTACTCTTATGTCTGTGGCTCTTGGTGGGCTACTGACCCTTATGCGACCAAAACTCTGCTCGCAAGAACCGCCCACGGTTTCCACAGGCCAGTGAAAGCCCAACCTAGTGCTTTCCAAGAACAGAAAACTCTGAAACCAACCCCGTGTCATGCCGCATTATGAACAATCTTCATGTTTGTCTGTTCCCTGTGCATCCCCAAGCTCACAAAGTTCACAATTCCACATCTGACAGGTCACGTCCAGAGCCGCCAAGGCAGCCCAGGGGCATTCCTCTGGCTCTTCCGGTTCCTCCTGCGCTGCATTATTCTGATCGGCCGGATATAGGAATCGACCGGTCCATCTGCGATTCCTATCGCCAACAATCCATTCCTTCATTCGGTTCCCTGCTTGAATTCCCAATCACAAGCAACGCAACAGACAAACAAGAGCTTGGTTCAGATTGCAGCTCTCCATACAATGCACTGCCCCACGCATGTTCGCTTGCAGTGTGCCGCGCCATCTTGACTCCTGCGCTCCATATATACATCCATATCTCTCCCTATGTGTATATAGCCTATAAAGACCCCTAGAATCTCCCTAACAAGGCGAAGTGCTCTAATTGAGGGCCGATTCAGGAGATATCCCATATAGATCCCAATATAGACCCCAATATCCAATATACTATAATCCTTCCTTGTGAGTTATTATGGGGACCCGAAAATGGTACCCTTATTTTAGGAAACCCCCATAGTTTGTGAGAGGGCCCCTGATTGTGAGATGTTCTCACCTGAGCTTCCGACACCCCAGATCATCTTATCATGAAGAAGCCGCATGTACATCTTGAGTATTTCAAAGTAGCATACATGTCCCTGAACCCCAATCCCCGCATTGTGAGCTGCTAAGCTATGCCTTCAGCTTCACGGTACTCTCATGCTAGGAGCCATGTGAGCTTCTGTGACATTCTCAAGCAGGTCTTGCTGCGCGTGCATCTTTCTACAAAACTGCTCCTGTAGCTCCTCGTCCTTCCCCTCATCTATCTTCTACAACTGGTAGTTTCCCAAAATAAGGGGACCCCAATATAGACCCCAAAATACTATAGCCCTTATTATTGGGACCCCTAAAATGGTACCCCGAATTTTGGGAAACCCGCAACTATGACTACTATGGCAACTACTTCAAATGTTGCCATGAAACGTTGCTCAAGCTTGCGCTCGTCCAGTGGCAACCTACTGGATGACAACCGATGCCACTTGGCCCTATCTTGGCAGTGAGTATGTCCGATGTAAAGCCCAGAAAGAATACTCCTGAATTATCTTCAGTTTTTACGAATCCAGACAACACCCCCCTCAACACCTTAATCCTTAGCTTATAGCCCCTTAACTCGTCAAGACTAGGATACCTGCTTACAACTAAACCCTCTAGACCTTCGTGTGACTCAACTGAGTAACGATTTTTTGGGTGGTTGAACACAGTAAGATTCTCCCTTATACAGAATACTACACACCAAAAGGAGGCTATAATCTTACTCTATATGGGGTACCATAGTATCCCCAAATAAACTACTACTCAACTGAAGCCTGTAGCATCCTAGGTTATAAGGTCATAGCCCGAAAAAACAAGAAAGGCAGACCCCTCTGCCTCAATGAGGAGATCGCTAAGCGGCTTTACCACAACAGGCAACATCCTCCGCAACACAGGAATACCGTTTCCCTCTCTGAAGAGCATTTGCAACAATATGCTTGGGAGGGATGAAGGTTCTGGGGTGAATGGCTCGGCGCAGCAGGCTTTCGGAAGAAGGGATGCCCTGCTGGTAGGGTTTGGGCTGATTTTTTTGCGAACTTGGGTTTAAGGTTTAGGGCGCATCTGCTGGGTATGTCAAAACATGAAGGGGCCCACAGATGGCAAAAAGGTCCATGAACCCATTAGGCTAAGAAAGTCCTCTTGGAGGGCGCTGCAACTGCTTGAGACCAGATCATGGATGCAGGGGTCCTGTCTTAGGATGCACTAAACATCCGAACCATGAACCCCACCCTCAACCCGTAAGCTCGTATGTTCCTAACACCCAAAGCCTATAGCCCCCCTTAAGTCGAAAAAATATGGTGTATATGGGGATCTTATTATGACTTACCCAAAGCCATATTCTATCTACTTAAGGGGGGCTATAAACCTTAAACCCCTAAACCCTATAGAACCCCTAGATAACCGCGAGATACCCCCAATATAACCCCTATATAACCCCAACCTTCAAACTCTGAAGCTTCCACATCCGCCTCAGCCTTTCCGGCTTCACTTTCTCGTTGGTGAACCGGAAGATCTCCTCAAAGCAAGTGATGGGGACTTGACTTAATCAATCCGTTCTGGACAACCTAAACCCTAAATCCTAAACCCTTAACCCTACATTCTAAACCCTAAATTCCTCACCCTGAATCCTAAACCCTAAACCGTAAAGCCTGAAGCCTAAACCCTAAATCCTAAACCCGATAACCTGAAAACAACTCTAGAATCTCATGCAAGGACGTGGTGGGACTCTTGTCTTCCTAGCTAGGACCAACCGGAAGGGGGAGATTCCCCAATGAGGAAATATCTTTATATCCAGAGGCGTATACAAGGGATAAGGGATTATGGGGACCATCGGAACTTACATGAGGGGGCCGTACATGGAAACTTGCCACCTGTAATTTCCTTGGACCCAGGGGCTTCAGCTATGAGAGGGCTTAGCGCTAAACGCCGAAACCTAAGCGCTTGTAGCGTTCAGGTTCCGGTCGTGGATCGAGCGAAGGGGCCGAACCATGAGCAAAGCTCTAGTGTCAAGGGGTAGAATGTAGGGTTTAGGATTTGCGGATTTAGGGTTTAGGATGTAAGGATCTAGGGTTAAAGATCTAGGGTACGGGATTTAGGATTTAGGGTTCAGGATTTTAGGTTAAACGGTTTAGGACTTAGCGTCGGGGATTGATGCAGCAGAAATTTACGTTTTCGGGATCCTTGTCCCTAAGCCCTAACACTTTCCGAAGTACTACAGAAAGACTGATGGCATTGCCTCTGCAAGGGTCCTTATGACAAGCGCTAAGCCCTAAATCCCAAAGCTTAACCGGTTTAGGGTCTAGGGCTAAGTTTACCCTCATCTTTGGCTGGACGCAACATGTGCGCAACACCAGGTTGACTGCAATGAGAATGGCCAAGCTATGTTCGTCTGCAGTTGGGATGTACGATGGACATATTTATGAGCGTCACAGATTGTTGGCATTACGCACCCTAGCCATTCAAAACCATACTCTAAACCCTGAACCTTCAACCCTAAATACCGTACATCCTGAACCATCAACCCGCAAATCCAAAGTTCCCCCCCCATCGTCCTGTCTATCCCCCGAAAAACCCTCAGCCTAAACCGCTCGCTCCTCCAAGATCGTTTGGTGCAGCTCCGGACCCTCCAAGCGTGTTTGCAGCTGCTGGCCTTCCAAAAAACGTGGCAGCAGCTACCGAAGTGATGACAAGCTAGAGGCAGCTGTTAAAGTCTAGGGTTGAGGGAATTTCAGGGATCTAGGTTTTAGGGTTCAGGGCCTTGGG